AGGCTGGGGGACATCTGTAATAGTGCCAATAATTCAAAAAAGAAGTAATAAAAAAATAGGAGACTGTCTTCAGCGAGTCACTATGTATTTTTAGTCATTTTTCTTTGCCTTTAGACACACTTTTTAGCAACGAACGTACCTTCTAGAACCTTCCACTAGCCCTCAATGTGAGCTCTTTGTTTCCAAGCTTTGCCTGCTCGGGGCTTCAGGCTAGGGATGCCCTTTGCTTGGCCTCTATGCTCAGACCGCTCTGCAGTCTTCCCAGCTTATTCTCCTGGCGCTTTCTTGCTCCATTCACCCAGATGGTTCTACGCAGGGCTCTGTGGTTGCAAGGGCCAGACATTCCGCTACGTTAGCGCGAGCGAAAGGTTGTCTCAGAGCGACATGGCCTGTGGTTTCTCGGTAACAGATCGACAGCTCGGGAGCCCGGGCCAGCTGAGGCTCTTGGAGGCTCACACCTGAAGGCCGGGGGGGTGGGGGGCTGGGGGGTGCAGGAGGGGGGAGCTGTGGCTGTGGTTATCTCAACATTGTAAGGACCAGGGACGGCTGCTGTGGCTCAAAACAGCGCGTCCTCGCCAAGGACGGTGGAAAGGGAAGGTGGGGGAGCCAGCCTTCCCCTTCGGTCAGGGAAGCAAGGTCTCTCACAGGAACCGGTCAGGAGACTTCTGCTTCCATTACGTTTACAAAAACACTGCTGCAGAGCCGCCCAGAAAGGAGGCGAAACCACAGGCCACTCGGCAGTGGGAGAGAAAATTGTCACACAAAGAATTCGTATCGAAAATACGGAAAGAACTTTCACACTTCGGTAAAGGATGTTCATGAGACAGACCTACAACTATTGCAGCAACACGAATGTAAGAGGGGCGTTCTGCCCGGCCGGGTGGCTCAGTGGTGGAGCCTCGACCTATGAACCAGCAGGCAACAGTTCGATTCCCAGTCAGGGCACATGCCCAGGTTGCGGGCTTGTTCCCCAGTGGAGGGGGGGCGGGGGTGCAGGAGGCAGCCGGTCCATGATTCTCTCTCATTATGGATGTTTCTCTCTCTCCCTCTCCCTTCCTCTCTGAAATCTAAAAATATATTTTTAAAAAATTTGGGGAGCTGGAAAGCAGATGCACTAGTGATAAATAACTTTACAGAAAGGAAAATGCTAAACACTTGCAGTGGAAAGAAGCAGGTTCTTACCACAGAATTTCAGAAAAGGCTCAAAAATTGGAGGCACCTAGTACCTCTGGATGGAGGAAAAGAGGAGGGACTAAAACAGGAGAACTGGCTGAAAATCTGTATAAGAAATAGATTCCTCCATCCCCTTTCCCTTGCCCATACTGCCAGGCAGAAGACTGGAGAAGCTGAATCAGAGGGCCTCTGAACCAAGGGACCAGTCACAGCTAAGGGCAGGCGTGCCAAGCTGAAAATAGGGGGATCAAATAAAACTCTACCTTTACTCTCCTCTCCCCCATCTCTCTTTTCTGCCTTGGCTCCCAAAACACCTGCTGCTGAACATACTCTCTAGGCAAGAGTGGAGGATCCTCTCTGAGGAAACTGACCAGCCACCAATTCACTCTGTTGCTTGGCCTCTATGCTCAGACCGCTCTGCAGTCTTCCCAGCTTATTCTCCTGGCGCTTTCTTGCTCCATTCACCCAGATGGTTCTACGCAGGGCTCTGTGGTTGCAAGGGCCAGACATTCCGCTACGTTAGCGCGAGCGAAAGGTTGTCTCAGAGCGACATGGCCTGTGGTTTCTCGGTAACAGATCGACAGCTCGGGAGCCCGGGCCAGCTGAGGCTCTTTGAGGCTCACACCTGAAGACCCGGGGGGCTGTCAATGACCAGCTCCAAGAGCACGGCGTGAGACAGCTGTGTGAACTCCGGGTCCCCCGGCACGTGGTCATAGTGCTCTAGCAGGGCCACCATGTCCAGGTCACAGGCCACATGGTCCGGAAACTTCCAGGAGGAAAAGCGCACGGGTCC